CTGCATAGGGGCGGGGGGGAGTCCGGACATTTACAAATTCCCCCCGGACGCTATTTTTAACTCTAAAAGCCGGACATGTCCGGGACATGTCCGGGGGAATCCGGACGAATGGTAACCCTAGGTGAGAGGCCCAGGCCCTGGCCCTGCCTCCCACCTCCCCAGGGGTCATGTAGAAATGGTGTTGTCAGAAGGGGGTCAGGCAGGGCCCAGAGGACAGGGAGAACAAAGCCGGCCTCGAGCCCCTCCACCCGGGCGTAGGGCAGAGAGCTCAGACTGGCGCTGGGCTCTCTCCTCATGATTTTACCTCAGCTGTTGGAGCTTGAGCTGACGGCCCCTCGTTGTGTCCGCTGGGGGCAGGGCGCCCTGCTCTGGGCTCACTCACGCTCTCCACAAGGCCATGCCGGTGGCTGGCTGGCTGCCCTGAGAGACCCCCGGTGACTCCTCTCAGCTCAGACCGCACCCTCCCTCCCACACACCCAGCCCAGCCGCGCCTGGACAGGCCTGGCTCTGCACTGAGCCCTCTTGGCCACCGGGGACAGCCAGGGTGCCAGCACCGAGGGCAGCAAGATGGCCTCTGTTCCCTGCGGGCACCCTGCCGGTGGAGCCATGGAGAGGGCACAGCCGGATGCTGCAGGACCTTGCCAGCTGCCAGGTAAGAAGGACACGATGAGGGGCAGATTGCTCAGGGGCCTGGCTGGGGGGAGGGAATAGGACTTAAGAGGGAACAAGGTGGAGGGACGGCGGCTCCAAGAAGGAACATGGGGGTTCCCCTTGAGCCCTTCTACCTCCATTCTGCCCTTCCATGAAGCCCGTGTCCCTGGGGGAGATTGGCAGGTCAGTCCCTGTCTGGGTCACTCTGTCCCATCTGGATAAGCTCTGTGCTCTCAAACCACCTGCACCGTGTCCCTGAAACATGCCATAGCCAGGGCTGGGATAACCATACAGACCTTAGTATCCTAGTACTGCATTAGTAGCTGATGGCTGCGAACATGGTCCCTAGCATGCAGGAAGGTTGGGCCCAAGCTTTGTCTGCTTTGAACAGGGTCTGATGGTAAAGAGTTTGGGACCCGCTAGTCCAGCATTTGCTGACTTTCACAGTGTGTTGCAAGGAACTATTATTTCCCATGATATTTCCGAGAAGATGGGTGAATGGGAGAGAAGGGCTAAGGGGAAAGGCTCTGGATTTTATGGATTGGGAAGAATCATGATGGTTGAACTGAGTCAGTTTGAACTTTTGCATGTAATTGATGGCATTGTACATGACTTGGGAGCACTGGAAAAGTGCATTTGATAGAGATGAACACCCAGTATTACTGTATTGTATTTTGGTTACCAACTTTTTGTTAAAGACAAAAATAAATGGCTGATAGTACATTTTCTTATGCAAGAATTAAAAGGGAGCATAACAAATGCAAAAGGTAAGGGACTACAGTAGAGCTATGAGGAAAAGGGAATAAACAACATGCCATAATCACAGCATCTTCCTCACTTCCTTTCTTAAAGCATTGTGTAGTGTTCTTGTGAGCAATTAAACAGCTGCTGTGTTCTACCACAAAGGTGGCTGCATTTCAGTGAAGGATGAAGTGACCCCTACATGCTGTTATGCATAACTGTGCCCATAACCAGTCACACATTTAGTACCTTCTGACAATCACAAACTGCATTGCTTTTACAAAACACCTACAGCAACTTTGTTTAGCACCTTTCATCCCAAGGTTTCCCAAAGTGCTTTACAAGATTATATATGCAATGTATTGTTAAACTGTCCAACACCACTCGGTCCTCCATCAAAGGGATGAACAAAGCCGTGGAAAGCAGAACTGTTCTGGAAATACCAACATCTCCCTATTAAAGGGCCCCATCTCTCCCCTACCTTCCCCAGGGCCATATGTGTTGTCTCATGCCAGACTTACAACTAAGGCCTTGTCTACACTAGATGGGGTGCCTATTTAGCTATATTGGAAAAAACACTTTTAGGGGAGATACAGTTTATACTGTCTGGCAAAGTACCTTCTCTTCAACAGGCTCAGTCCTTTTTAGCCTTATAGACAGAGGCTTGGGCAAGTCAAATCCTTATAGGTAACACAGGGTCTGGCTATTCCTTTCCTCAGTCAGTCCCTTGTGCTTGTTTTCCTTCCCTTGTAGGGAGGGAGTGCAGCCTTCCTTCCTGGAAGAGTTCAGTGTCTTGCTGCACCCTGCCTTCCCTTCCCTTCCCTTCCCTCCCCCCCTCTCACTCCTTCTTCTTCTTCTTCTTCTTCTACGCAGCCGGGAAGGGTTTAAAAAGGTCTCACACCGTTGGAGCCAGCTGAACCTAATTAGTTCCCTGGTAACTACTTTTCCAGCTGAACCTTATTTCCCCATGGTTCTCTCTCCTCAGTGGATAGGGAGAGGTCTTTTAACCCCTAGGACTAATTACTTCCCCTCCCCCTTATAGCTGTTTGTCCTGGGTTTACCACAACTGGCAAAAGAATTCTTACTGCTTAACAAAATAAGCTATACCAGCAAAAGGATGTTTTTGTTAGTGTAACTACATTTACATGAGGGTTTTTGCTGGCGCAGCTACTATATCAGGTAGGGGGCAATTTTTCCACACTACCTACCAATATAGATAAGCCAACAAAACTTTCAAGTTAGTCAATTCCTTAGAAACAGAGATGTGGCTTACCTTATCGAAGATTTTGTTTGCGGAGGGCCAGCACAGCAAAAACATAATTTCCAGCTCCCTGTGAGCAGAACAGCAAAAGACAGAAGGACAGTAGGGCTTTTGCCTTCCAGTGTATTCATCCCATGTACCCTAAACCTGGAAAACGATTGATTGATAGCTTCCCAAGGTCAGAAGGGACATCTCGTTTGATCTCCTGTATAATATAGGCGATAGAATGTCCCCAAAATAATTCCTAGAGCATATATTTTAGAAAAACATCCAATCTTGATTTTAAAATGGTCAGTGAGGGAGACTTTACTACGGTAAATTGTTTCAATGATTGATTATACTCACCATTAAAAATGTGCACCTTATTAAGATGAACCCTGACTCTGGCTGAACTCCCTGAACCTAAACACAAACTGAGCAACTGGTGCTGATTATATGCATAGGCTAGGTCTATACTAGGAAATGTTTACAAAAGATTGCTACCATTGCAATGTTCGGAGCCCTAGTGTAGGTAGCTTTCTGGCTCTAGCAGCCATTTTCAGCATCACCTTATTTAAGCGAGCCTAGTTGACAGTGCTGACACACTTCCTCACATGGCTAACGCAGCAATATTAGCAACAGCGGAAACTCTTCTAGACAAGGCCATTCAGAAAAGAAAAATCTTAAAGTCACTGGGGATTCCTGTTTCTGTTAAGTGAGCATTTTTTGGAGTGGGAAGACATGACCAAATTAGTTCCATCATCAAACAACTCTACTGCCTCCCTATGCATTGCAAAATCCAGTTCTAAACTGATCACTTTAATGGATGCCAATTTCACAGATTTTGTCTATCCCCTCTCCTTTCACTTTTCACATCTCTTGTTTTAATTTGGCCTTCTCTCCTTCCCTCCGTGCAACTGGGTGCTGCCTATAAAGGAGGCTTCTCCTTCACTGTTATTGCCATCTGAAACATCCTGACTGTAGCTCTCTGCCTCTCCAATTATCCATCTCATTTCAAACAGCTGCTGGAAACATAACTTTTCTCTCTTAGTTTTTCTTTCTCTCTGCTGTTATTGTATTGTTTAACTCAGCAAAGCAATCTGGGATACAATTTGAATGAAAGAGATACAAAATTAAGTTGCATGGTATACCAGTTATTCCTCAAAAATGCCATGCAAGAATCCTTGTGACAATTAGGTGATTTGGAAGCACCATAGAGGGACCCCAACATTTCTCATACGTGATGTAGCGCTATACTATAATAATGAAGAGGTACTTTGTGAAATAAGTTTTAGGTATCTCAGCTCTGACTTGATATAACGCAGTAAAGGCTTCAGAGCATGATGCAAAATTCATGGATTCGTTGAGCCGCTCAGGAGACATCAGAGGACTCAGACACAATGACAATAGGCTCACACATCAGAAACCCAAAGATGCTAGTGACTTTTCAAGCACTATTACCATACACCAAGAGAAATACATAGACTCCCTGAACTGGTACAAACCCCAGCGCAGAATATGTTTTAAATAACCTAGGGAGAAGGACATGAAACAGAAGTGTAAACACACCTCCTGGGGATCCGTGGCTGACTAAAGCTTGCCTGAGTTTTAGTCACATGGACTTGCCTGGATGGAGGGGCTTTTCCTTCTAAGATCACCAGGTCTGCTCTTGCTGACAAGACTTTATTGTCTGGGCAGGGCATTTCCAGGTCAGGATCCAAATTTCCCCCTTTCTGGGGTGTGGCAGCGTTTATCACACAGTGCAAGGCATATTTGTTCTGGCAGGCCTTTCAGGAATCGTCATACTGGTAAATCTGCTGGTTAGTATTTAGGGACAGCTGACTTGGACCGCGACTCCTGAGGGCAGAGTTGGGCTATAATTGCCGCCATGCTCCCTGGATGCTAGCGCAATGGGTGTTATTTAAAATAAATCTTGGGGAGCAGAGGGAGCTGGCAGCATTTCCAGCCTGGGGCCTAGGGGAGCTGCCAGCTGAGTGTGGGCTGGGACACCAGTGCGAAAGTGAGGCTGGGTACACAGGGAGAGCTGGGAGCCTGCCCTGCCCCCCGGGGGCAAACAGGGGCAGTCCGGTCTCTGTGCAGGGAAGCCCCACAGGGCACAGCCCCCTCCCTCTTCGGGTGGCCAGCTGTCCCTCTCACCTTTCTTCTCCCCCATAGCATCAGCTGCCTCTGCCCCTCTCAGCCCCACGCAGTGGGGCTGGGCAGCCGGTGGGGGGCGCTGGCTGGCTGGCTGCCTTCTCCGCCCCGCTCACTAAACCCCCTCCACCCTTCCCGCCCCGTGGGAAACTCAGGGGCCCCGTGACGTCCCGAGGGGCTTTTCTGACGTCACGTGGGCAAATACCCACAACGCAATACAGCCGGGCGCCTTTAGGGGAGCGGGCTGCAGCGCTCGCCCTGCTTGGGGTGCAGGCTGCCGGCACGCCCCGCTGCGCTCCGGAGTCAGCGATCCGGTCTGTGCGCAACGTGGATCGAGCAGGCTAACCCGTGTGCATGGTCCCACTGCGTCCACATGATCATACGGCTGCTCAATCTACATTGCTCACGGATTGTATCACTCACTGCAGCCAGGGTCGAGCTGGCGTTGTAATCGATGTGGAGCCAGGAATACACTCTATGTCCAGTGTAATCCAGGTACTATGTTGATTCATCAGCGTGGTTTTCAAAGCAGCACAAGTCAAACATGACCAGTAGCTAAGTGTGAAAATGTGCAGTTGAAGAGAACCATTTTTTTAAAGTAATACTTCATCAGAAAGTTTATTTTCCACTCATATGAACCTTGCTGGTATTTTTGCTCACTGCCCTGCTCATTAACAAAACCAGGGGGCAGCCTTTCCTCATGTTAAGCATCACTTATTTGCAGAAGAGATCCCATTGTGCACCCACGCACGAGTCCACACTTGCAAGTGTTCCCCTTGGGGAAGAGGGTTGAAGAAGGAGGCACAAGCTGCTTGTTGCATTGGTGAGTGGAAGGTGCACAGCTACTAGGGTGACAGGTCGGCTACAAGAACCTGACTAGACTAAGGTACACAGGTGACCAAGCACTTTTCAGTTTAATTCAGATTTGTAGAATTTCACTTTGTGTCAGCATAAACTAGATGAAGGAGAAGTAATTTTATACAGGACTTCTCATATTTAGTCAGACTGTGGACCACTTCTTGAGAGAACTGGTTGCCCACCTCCCTGGCACTATCCCCTCTATGAGCCCCCATTCTCTAGAGAAATTACAATACTTGATGAATTAATCTACAATTAATACTCTTCAAAAATCAAGAAAGCATCCTTTCCCAAACCACATTCCACTATTTCATTTTTCTCTTCATTGAATCTCCCCAGCACCTCCCTCCCCACCAAGCTATCCCTCCCCTCCTGTTTGCCCCACTCCCTTGTTAAAGAGTCTTATTGAGCAATTGCCTGGCTTCAGCCTCACTGGTGGCTTTGGTCATCTTGGGGACGTGTTGCTCTTCTCCCAGTAATGACTATAGGCTCCTCTTCCCTTAGAGTTTTAGAAGCTTCTTGTGAAGGCTGTAAGGTTTGCCCTTCCATTGTCCCAGCTGTTTTTACAGGGCGAGCCAGATGTAGAGAAGGACCTACCAAGTGCTCTATCTATGGACTAGAGTTTGCCAACTGTTGCATTACAGCATTGGCTGAATAAACAGTGGTCAACAAGTCAGCTAGAGATGCCCAAATGGTGGTATCTTCATGTGTCTGAATCATTCAGGTCTAGATCTTCAAAAGTAGGTAGGTACTTAATTCCCTTTCATTTCAAGGGACTGGGAGCTAGGTACCTATATAGCTTTGAGGATGTGGGCCTGAGTCCTTTGCCTCAGTTGAACCTGGCCAGTACTCAAAGTGTAACATAAAAGAAGAGTGTGTGGTGTGTGTGTGTCTCTAGCCATAGAGCAAGGAGCCTTCCCTACTACTCAGACCCTATAGGGAATCCCAGACTCTTGGAACAATCCCTCTGCTCTGGAGTGTGTGACCCTGCACCATGGTCTACATGGCCCAAGACTCCAGGTTCCAGTGTCTGACTATCACTGGGGCAGAGACACTTCTCAGCATACTACTTCTAGTTGAAGAAAGGAGGTGGGGGTGGAGCTATTCTCAACAGAAACAAAGACCCGTCACCCGTCTATTAGAACTACAGCACTAAGATGCCAGGCTCCTTCAGATCTCTGTTCGGAACTGCAGTGTGGTCCCAGCCATTTTCCTCTCGTAATCTTCATTGAATGTCTCATTCTGGGCCACAGTGAAGTGATTCTTCCAGTCCCCAGCAATCCCTGAAACAAAAAAAATAAAAAAAGACAGTGAATGAAACTGCAGAGCCCTTGGTGAAGCAAAAGAACTCCCAATGGTGGAAAATGCAATAGAAAAGAGTATCAAGAAAACATTAATGGTCTAAATTCTACTCTGTTACATTCTTCTCTAGCTCAGGGGTTCTCAAACTGGGGGTCAGGACCCCTCAGGGGGTCACAAGGTTATTATATGGGGGGCATGAGCTGCCAGCCTCCACCCCAAACCCCACTTCACCTCCATCATTTATAATAGTGTTAGATATTTAAAATGTGTTTTTAATTTATAATGGAGGGAGGGGTGGTGTCACACTCAGAGGCTTGCTATGTGAAAGGGGTCACCAACACAAAAGTTTGAGAACCACTGCATCAAGCATCAATAGATTTGTGAGGGTTTAACTGAGGCCAGAATTTGAACCTCAATCTATTAAATTAACTACATTTTTGTTTGTGGTGCATGAAAAATGTATTCATTAAACAGTGTTTATTAGATAAAAACTCCTAACAGCTTAACACTTTGAGCATCTTTTCCATATACTGAGCACAAAAGGCATCAAGAAAAATGCTGGTGTCCAGGATAGTGGATTGATAAAAATAGCAGACTTTGAAAAAAAAAAGTTTCTGTAGCAATTAGCTTTTAACTGGAATTTAGTCACTGGAAAATTGGTGAACTGAAATATTATACTGATCAATTTTCTAATTGTTTGTGGAAGTGCTGGGTGGATGCCAGAGAAAGCAAACCAGCTAACCAGATCCTGCATTCCATATTGACTGTTTTAAACAGTTTTAGTGTGGAAATTATTGCCACTCACCTATCTTATTATTAGTAAACATGTTTATTACAGTAGTGTCCAGGGAACAGCAAGACTGCATCCCCATTGTGCTAGGCACTGTACACACAGAAATAAACAGGCTTAGTCCCAAATGGCTCACACTGTATCATTTGGTCTTGTGGCAGAGCTCTGGCTTTGCCTCAGGGGGTCCTGCGCGTCTAGGCAGTCAGGGCTGGCCTTAGAGGTTTGCTGTGACCCTCAATTTAGCCTCTCTCCCCTCCTAGAGAGAAAGGTTACAGCTTACTGATCCACCTTCATCATCGGTCAGTCAACAGGTTTGGTGTAAGAGCCCTCTTTAGTCCCTGTCTTCCTACTCAGGGAGCATTTTTGTAGAAGTGTGGAGAGGGTTGGGGGGGAACCCAGGCCCACCCTTTTCTGCAGGTTCCAGCCCAGGGACCCTAATGGCACCAGCAACAGGTAGTTTTCCTACACTACCTCTGCTATAGGCCTTCCCTGGGCTACTTCCCCAAATGGCCCCTCCTAGCACCCCCCTTGGTACCTGACCACACTTGTTCTCCAGGGTCTTTTACTGCATACCTTCTTTCTCCCAGTCTTCCCACAACACACCTTCTTGCTCCTACCAGCTAGCCTCACTGAAGGGGCTTCCTTTTAAACTAATCCAAGCCGGTTCTAAATGGGCTTCAGGTGATCTGATTAGCCTGTTTCCCTTGATTGCTTTGAATCCATTCTTAATTGGTTCCAGGTGTCTTATGGAGTCTGCCTGACTTAACTGCTTCTAGCACCTTCCTGACTGCTCTCGGGTTGACCCTGCCCTGGTCACTCAGGGAACAGAATACTATTCATCCAGTGTCCAGTATGTTTTCCTTCTACCAGACTCCTGCACCCAACCATTCTGGGTCTGTCACAGTCTGCACTTCACCCTTTGAGAAAAATAAAAATAGAACTAGTTGTCTCCTATGGCCAACATGCTTCTTTGCTTTTCTTTTTCCAGTGAATGTGAGGTGTGACAAATATATGGAAATGTGGGGATTTAGGGTCAAATTTTGAAAGCGTGTAGCTCCCATTTAGGCACCAAAAATATGTGGCCAGATTTTCAGAAGGGTTTAACACGCCGCAACTCCTGTTCTCAGTGGGAGCCGCTGGAGGCACGGCACTTCTGAAAAATCCAGTCACTTTGTTTTGATGTTTAGCTGGAGCTGAACTCTTGAAAATCTGGCTCTATTGCCCCCATTTAGTCAAAGATAAAGTTCTAAACTGGTAGCAGCAGCAGCAGAGTGCAGGCTTCTGCAATGCCACTCCGTTCTGTTCTTCTGGGACTACTTCTAGGGGTGAGAGTGTAGTTCAGTCTCCATGCCCACTCAGTCCGTGGCCTCTTTCAGGAGACTGGGATTGCTAATTAGTGTCTTATGTCAAGGCATCTGTGAGATATAAACACTTATCCACTAGAAACGGTACCACCACCTGTTTTACACAAGCCACTGAAAAGCCATCAGATATAAACATGGCCACCTTTCTGGGTAGCTTACAAAGGAAAACTGGATGAAAAAGTATCTTCCTGTTACAACTGAGGAGAAGAAAAAGAGTTGCTAGTGCCTGTGCGAATCCTTACCTTTACGCATGAAAGGGGAGATGCTTTGATCCATAACATCATTTGGGACCATTGTATAATTTGTGGTGGGATTCTCTTTCATCATTTCAAATGAAGTGTGATAGACAATCCTGTCTAGAACCTCTTCCTTCAGATCCTTCCCCAGGAAATGCATCACCTTGCGAATTTCACGCTTCGGATCCTACAGCAAAAACAAGTGGCACTTCAGGTGGTGGGACCCAGTGGCTCAACTAGTCAGGTGACCACCATGTAAAATAGTGAAAGTCTAGAACTTGTATGAGGTGCCAGCAACCTTAGTTGTTCCACTGGATCAAAACTAATATCCAGCAATCCATCAATACATTTCATCAACCTTGCACCCAATTCTTACACCCTTTCCCAAAATAGAAAGGAGATAAATAGCCACACACAAAAAAACAACCCTTCTTTGTCTCCCTCTCTAGCATTAGCACACTGCACAGGCAAGCTTAATTCTGGCTCTCCCGAACTTTTGAGTACTTGACTTTGCAACCCAAATAATGTTATTTTAAACATATTTTTTTGGGGGGAGGGGGGTGCAAGATGTGGAGAGAGAGAGAGAGAGAGAGAGAAAGAGAGAGACCAAGACTGGGCTGTAACTCACCAGTCCCATCACTTTATTTAGAAAGTGATGCAGACAGCCACTCCAGAGGGGCCCTAATTCCAGCCACATCTTCCCCAGCCAGGCACAGAATTCTTAGGGCCAGATCCGCAGCTGCTGCAGCCCTAATGACTACACTAGTGGAACTATGCTGATTTGAGGAGCTGGCCCTTACTCTCAAACTTCACTTCCTGTTCTTCAGCAATACGTGGATGCTAAACTTCAGAATAACCCAGCTCCAAATACTAGCCCTCTATTACTGTTAATTGGGAAGGTAGTGATTAATTCCATTTCATGTAGTTCAAAGCTATAGTTGGGATGTTTATCCAAATCTCTCTGGTATGGAAATCATCCAAGATCAGGCTCTCATGAGATTTCTGGTAGTGCTGGATTGGAAATACCCAATTCTTCTCCCAGCTAAAACCAGGAATTCCAGAGTGTAATTAAAGGGAACAGGAGCAACTGTTTTTTCAAATCCCCATCCAAGGTTCAAAGCAACAGAGGGTCCTGTGGCACCTTTAAGACTAACAGAAGTATTGGGAGCATAAGCTTTCGTGGGTAAGAACCTCACTTCTTCAGATGCATCTGAAGAAGTGAGGTTCTTACC